GCCAATGCCTTAAGTCCTACATAACATGTGCTGTTTCAGCTTAATTGAATTCTAATAGACTTCGCAGGATTAAAAATAATACAAAAAACTTTTTTAATAATATTTTCTTTATGAAATAGTTATGCTTCACTGGTTGAACACCGCAGTCACTGTTGATATCTTTTTTAAATATCATCTGAGGCAAGGAAGGTAACATAAATACTCCTTTATTTTCATGTATGTTCCTCTCTCGCTAGTACTTTTCAAGGTGTGCCGGGGGCGTGAGTCTCTCGGCCACCTCATCTGCATGGGGCGGTGATATATGGATCAATACCTGAAGTTCTTAAGAATTCAAGTCCTGAAGAAGACACCCATGAATAAAAGAGAGTGCTCAGTTTGAGGTACTTTGTCGCCAACATTATCAATGCCCCAATGTCATGAGGCATTAGATGTCGCTTCTTTCATAATGGACCCTATACTCCCGACTTAGGACGCTTCTGTGTTGCAGCGCACTTACGGGAAAAACGTTTAAATCTTGATGCCACCCGCTTGAATGGTTTTCAAATTAGATTCAACTTCTTTCATTAAAGAATGTCCCCACAGACCTTTGTGTCACTGCCGTAAGCTATAGCTAGGGGACATTGATGGACCCTGGGTTATAGTAATATGAGATAAAAAGCCAAGCCTACCGCGTTTGTTGAGTGGATTAGTTGGCAGACAAAAGTTGAGAAGCATTTTGGAAGGGTAACCTAGTGGTTAAAGGAAAATGTTGAAAATTGGAAATTGAGTCAGTCTGGGAAAAACAGAAGTTTTGAGAAACGAAAGTAAAGAGATCTTGAATAAAGATGAGTAGAGATGACGCAGATGACAATCGCTGATTTTGAAGAAATAAAGGTAATGCAAGTTTGAAGATAAACATGCAAAGGCATACTATGAAAAGAACGACTAAAAAACAAACAAAGAAAATACTTAATAAAACGATAAAAACATGGTTTAAAGAAGAAGTAATTCCGAATATTTTAGTTTGAGAAAACTCGTTTATAGGATTGTAGACATGGGATTTCAGATGAACCACATTGAAGGGAAAAGGAGAGCGAGTAAGGGCAGGTAAAGAAATGGGGTTATTCCTGAAAAAGAAATAGCAGGGGCTCAAGAAAGGCAAGTCTTGAAGAGTAGATCACATTAGAGGCAGTCATGGCTCGTCTGCTTGGTTATACGTGTATGGGGGGATGGGGGGTGGGGGTAGTTTTGGCCTGGGTTATTAAAAGAAAATGTATGACTATTTAATGTAAGATTATTTTGCCCACAAATGAGTTTTTAACCATTTCATCAAAATCATTTATCGGCTCTTACATGTTTATGTTGCAGTGATGAAATAGGCAACCTACTCTCAGACAGATGCAAAACAGTTATAATAAATCATGAAATAATGATGTTGAAGGAGCATAAACTGGTCGTGCTCCAGTTTTTTCCTTCACGTAGATGAAAGTAAGTGTATTCCTCTACGGAATTCACCTTATTCCCTGTTATATCTTCGCTCAGGTTGCCGCATTTCTTATAGCGATCACCATGGCATTTGCTCAAGGTCATGGCAAAGTCCCCGGAATACAGGTGCAGGCGGTGCGCATAATTTTCCCTGTAGCAGCGAGTTTAGTAACAAGTACACGCGCTTCCAGAGCGCGGTATATTAATTGCCAGGGTACATAACAATATATTTCATGCGGTTGGTAGACCTAGGATATTACTGAGATTCAAGCATGAAACGGATGAAATCATGGATCGGCGAATGGCCTAGTGACAGTGGGTATTTTCTTATTATGCAATTAAGCGTGGTAACTTGTAGTAGAAGCAAGCACGTCACGTGTTCCTGCTCAATGTGTGTAAATGTATTTTCGTATTATTTGCTAACTGTCAAGTATCGGGAGCATGTACGTGACAACCCGATAAAAAGTAATTTTTGTCACCCTTTAAATACAGAAGCTTGAAACATGAAATATCTGAATGTACCTAAATGTAGGTTAAGATTAAGACGTCTATGGACCATAAGCGTTTCCGGCGTTTCTACAGAAAATGGCATTGGTCTTGTTTTAGCAGCTTACACCTGTTCCCCAGACTATTAATTAATTGTGATATAAAATTTTTGGTATAAATCTTGTTATAATCACGACGCAAGTCAACTCAGTAGGTTATACATCATGGAGAATGACCCAGCTAAGTTTCATCACCATGTGATCCACTGTGTTCACGACTTCGAATATGAGTGAGCCAAGTGAGTGGGAGCAAGGTCTATCCGTGATGTTGTAAGTCTGTTCTTTGAGTTATATAAACAACGAAAAAACATGCATAGATCTACATGTACATGTATTAACATGGGTGTTATAAATATTGCCATTATATGTACAACAGGTATCTGTGATAGGTCAACCCCAGACACTAAAATCTGTACACTTACACGCGCACATGTATTCATACCCGCGAATTTTTTTTTTATTTAACTGCTTGATAGGGCATGTAAGCATGTATAGGCTGTAAGAATATTTAATAAAGCCAGTCCTCTCATGGTAATCATTATGATATCTCGTTTCAATATACATCGTTTTAAGACGTGTGTTTACCAAATATGCCTCTTATGTGAAATGGCATGACTGCTTTTGCATTAGACCTTGTCACGGCCAGGGGGTTGTTTGCACATAGATTACATGTAAAAAAAAGTCGGTTAAAATCACGTTATGCAGATTTGTCAATTTATAGTAACGATTAGACACGGAGACCCTGTTGTGTGGCCTGACTTCATGCCACTCTATAGATATACAATCGTTTGAGGGAGCAAAGGTTGTACGACTGTCGTGGTCGCAAAGCATGGTTTGCGTGCAACTCAGACACAGTGTGTGTTTTGAAGGCACCAGAGCATGGCGGAGTTGAAATCATTGTTAGGGAACCGGTCACCGCCAGGTGAATATACCGCTGGCTTGCTTTTAATATGCTTCTTCATATCGGCCAAGCGCTAGCAAATTATTATTGATTAAGCTATTTACGAAAATGTAAAAGTCGGTGTTGGGAGTGATTTTGGCTTTTTGGAGGAAAAGCGTTTTTTGTTTTCTGTGAGGCTTATCCTACTTTCTTTGCGTTTTTTGTTTGTTTGTTTTCGTTGAGTGACATTGCACAAAGAGGTGGGAAACGGAATGAGAAAAAGGGTGAGAATTATGAACAACGGATGACTAACCTTCTTGCGCGGTTTTATGAAAGTCTTTCTGTAGAATGTCAGCAGGGAGTGTCGAGGAAAGGAGACAAAGATTTGGAGAAATAAAAAAAGAAAGGGTGTTTTATAATTAAGCATTTTTTTGTAACAAACGGCCATTGAAATATTTTAGATTTAGCTGTCACAGATTTAGCAGCAAGACGAACACTGTTACAGGGTTTTAAACCTGCTTTACATTTTGTACGCCTTATTTGTTAGATCACCGATCAAATAGTTGATCAATTGTCTATCCAGTCGGTCAAGCGTTGCCACCCATTCTCTAATAATTCTACAGCGTGTGTACATATACAACAGGTGTTTGTATTTATTTTTTAAGATCATGCGGTAAAACATGCGGCCACTGTCATTCGCGTAACATTGGCGATCACGATAACAGGTGTGCATTGAAACATGTTGCACTTTAATTATCTTTAAAGTGAGAAATGCAGGGTTGCTGGTACATTGCGATGAATTTATCAGCTGTCAAACTGCTTGCCACTTCCTCACTTCCCCCCCCCCGTACTTTTATCCAGATCACGGGAGTAAGAGAGCTAATCAAACTTTAATCTGCATCCCGAACCCACCGGGGCTGATTTTATACTTGCAAAGGGAACGTGAGTCGAATCACAGCACTCAGAAAGGCGTCCTTTCTTACCAACAGAGATATGTTTTTTTTTAAAACTCTTATCTGTGATGTGATTTAAATAGAGATAGAGACAAAACCAATATGCTAGATAACTTGCAGGGGTTTACTATGGTGAGTTTGGATCGATATTTCGAGGGTCGCGTTAGGCATATGTGTCTACCACAGTCAGTGGCTGAAGCGAAAAGGGGAACACCCCCTCCTTTTATTTACATCGCCTGTACGATTACCAGCCTGTATTTTCGTTTGAAAATAAACAAACGAACAAACAAAAAAATAAATAAATAAATAAAATAAAATAAAGAGACAGATAAAAATAGATTTATATATAGAAAAATAAATATAAAATTATATAAGAAATATTTAAATGCACACAGAAGAGATCATACCGCGTGAGGTGGTGTTAACTTTTCATCGAAACTTGTGCGAATGAATTGTCGTCTAAGAAAGCAATACTAAGGTGATAAGCAAAACATTTCGAATTTGTAGGTCTACTGCTGTGCAGTAGACTGTTATTTGACGGAACTTTAAAGACAAAACAATTAGCAGAATATCCGTAGATAAATTCTGTCAGCTATCATTCGTTGGTGCATCGCACTCGCTAGTCTGCCATTATTTCTGACTTCACTCTTTTCCAAATGCCACGAAGTTTCGTTTTTTTACGATAAGTCGCGAGACTTTGGGGTTTTCTCGGATGATTCCCTTTAAAAGTCCCAATTTTCACACTGATATATAATACTGTAAATATCGATACACCAATATGAAGGAAACGAGACTTTTTGGTCCTTTTTTCTAGTACCGACATAATTTTGTAGTTTAGGGGTAGATATCATACAAGCGTTACTTCTTTGTTGCGTCTACGTGAATGCCGTCTCATTTGCATTTGTCTATATTTATTTTGATAATATGATGGTTATAATATGATTGGTAACAAGATTGTTTGTGTGAGGTGCCAGTGAAAAACTTGTTATGACTGGATCTTTTCCATGCATTCATTGGTCGTTTGGTTCAAGTTTAACTTTTCTGCTCTACTTGTCTACAATTTACCTGAACTGTCTTGTTCTGAAATATTGATATTAGACTTCTAGATTTTCTTCCTAAGCTTTTAAAATACATGCATTTTTGTTTCAATTCTTACAGAGGTGAGTGCCAACCCATGGCTGAACCCCAAAGCTTCCAAAAAAGTTGGCTTCAACGTGGACATAGATTCCGGCCACATTAAGTTAGAAGTCAAAGATCTATTTTGTGAACTATCAGAACTGAAGCGGTTCAAGGGCGTCGAACATGAAGAATGGATGGAAACGGCAAGGTAGGCTGTCTGAAAAGTCGAGGTGGTCTCGATATCAGCCCAGGGGCCATTTTCACTGTAAGCCTTAAGTCAGTTTGTGAGCTAAAGTTTTGCCCACTACGACTTTTCGAACCGAGTCTGGTTTCATAAATAATGTAAAACACCGATTCTCACGCTTTTTTTTTGTCCTTGAACTAAGTCACTAAGCAAACTGATATCGTCTTGACAAGGTGTTTCCACCCAGTGGTGACTTCATTAGACATATCAATAACTTTATTTACTGGCTGTGTTTCGCAAGGAAAAGCCAAAGAGGGGTAAATATCATTGAATCAATTTAGATAAACCTTCAGATTAAACCTGCTTCAAAGTATAGGCTAAGTTTCTGGACAGAAATTTGAGCCCAACTTTAGGCCTAGTACCTGTGCACGAAGTTCTTTTTTTTTTTTACAGATAAATATTGGTTACTGCTAAGTTGCTCTTGAATGGCTGTGTATGTGTCAGTACGTGCAGTGATATTCCACACTATTAAAACATACGGGTTGTCTCACAATAAAGAACAAAAAAAAAAACAAAAAAATGCAATATGCACGAAGTGTTGAGTGATGAGCACGGGTAAAGGTTTTAAGGTCATGTTCTGATTATTACCCAGGCTAGTGAGAATAAGTTGGAACCCGAGTTGCACTCTAAACTCGTTGGCATTCACATAGGATGATATCACAATCAATGCGAGAGAAGTTCACGCACTGCGTCTAGGGTTATCATAGTCTGTGCACGCCTTAGTATCGCCATATTGGTATTTATTGCATCATTGTTTACTGCCAAAAAATACATGCAAGTGCTTGTGAGGAAATTTGTATCACAAAATGAAATGTACTTCTTCATAAGAAAAAACGACTAAAAGAGTGGTAGTACATCAATTTTGATAAACATTGTAACTTAAAAAAATTTCATATGATCTGTATCTAAGTTATAATATTCTTTATTGGTTTTATCACTTTTTTTACAAAGAGCTATAACTTATCTGATATATAGTACAATACTCAAAAATAATACTATTGTGATTTTAGATGGCCGATTTGGTTAACTTTACGCCAGCGTAAATGTATTTCAGATGGGTGAAATTCGAAGAAGTTTTAGAGTTAGGCGGGAAGCGTTGGTCCAAGCCCCGAGTAGCCACTTTGTCATACAAATATTTGAAGGAGCTGAAGGACATACTGCACAATGGATCCGTCATTTTGGACCTGGACGGTTCCAACATGTTGGAAATTTCCGGTAAGTTTAACTTGCGTTGGTTTCACTTTCCATTGTTTTGATAATATCATTAATATGATTTAAAAAATGTAATGGTTGTAGTGGGTCGAATATAGAAATTCTGAGTTAGATTCTATGCTGTTAAAATACTGGTCATTTTATGATTGCCAATTGCCACGTTGATCAAGTAATAATCCCCCCCCCCAAAAAAAACATTAAAAATAATACCCTGTTTTAGATGTTAACGGATATATCTGTAATTGGCTTTTCTCGTTTTTTTCGCAATTCGTGTTTTATTGTTAATTTCAATTACAAGGTCACCTCAACACTTCATTTATACAGAAACAAAAGCAACTTGCAAAAACAAAGCACTTTTCCGTTCCGTTTCTATGTAATCAAATAGCTTTCCGGATATAAATCTCTGTATGTTATTCCAGACATGCTGGCTTACAGACTATTGAAGACCCATCTTCACGGCATTGATCTGCAGCAGGTGATCGAAGTTTTCCTGCGGAAACATCATCACCAACACGAGAAGCGGTCAAAAAAGCGACCTCCTACCGTGGACGTCAATACACCAGGCGGAGAGCCAAAGTCCCCAAGTATGTCCATAACAATTTTCTCTATGTATGTCCGTAACATTTCTTTCTAAGTATGTCCGTAAGATGACGGAAGGACCCTACCCTCTACCAGGACCGCAGGTTAATTATGTGCACTTTTCTCCAGCAGAGAATCGTGCCACGGATTAGCCAGAGTCATATATAAGTAAATATCTAGTGAATATCAATCTGTGACCCCAAAAGAGGGTACAAGGGCCTTGAGTAATCTTCCTGTATGTCTGAAACAAAAAGAAGGAAAACTGTCCATTTGGAGGGGGTGGGTCTTTCTGCATTATTCCTGTAATCATGAATTACTTAAACTATACTTATTTCCTCGTCAGACAAGAAAAACTTCTAATCCACTTTGCTGTCAGTCACTTCCTGGTTATAAATTTCCATTTCTGACTAAGGCAGTTCGATTCTTTCAACGTAACATATGTAATTTCTGGGGTTTAGTGGTTAATATAGATTAATTAGAGATATTAATCAAACAGTTTTTCAAACTTCTCTAAAATGCAATCTTGAAACAAAAGGTGCATTTTCCACAACTGCTGCCAACATTCACTTCGTGGTATTCATTGTAAAATTTATGGACATATCTTCAGTTTTACCGATTGGCTTCCTCGATACTCTACATTATTATTGTGGTTGTTCACACGTTTGATGCCAAAGCAAAGCAAAACCGTAAAGTGCAATTTACTTAATACGCAATGCACTCACAGCTATTGTAAAACTGGCAGTTTGTGGTGGAACAAGGCACTTATTTCCTCACTGGGATATAACACATTTCACCTTTTCTTTGTATTAGAGTTAATCATATTACCGTATGCTTTCTTTAAGGTGTGTTTGCGCAATAATTTTGAACCGTTCCTGAACCGAACGAAACGCAAAAGGAAATTGCAAATCAGATTTACAACCTATGCCCCTGTATGACTAATAGGTTACACGATTGGGAAAAGTCACGTTTGTTGCAAATACAAAATTGAATACAATTTTGTCTAAGCGCAGCTCCGCTATCTATATTTTTTTCCTTGTATTTCACGCAATGTAGACTTTATTTCTTCGGTCTTAGTGAGTGTCTTTCCTAACTTTTTACTAACCCGACTTTTCTGTTTCAGACCGTTCACGGGCGAACAGCCTGGTGGGTAGACGAGGGTCTAAAGGTCACAATTATAGTCGTAACCTGACTGCTTCGTTAAACCACCTTACCAATTGTGAGTCTAGAGGGTCTAAAGGTCACAATTATAGTCGTAACCTGACTGCTTCCTTAAACCGCCTTATCAATTGTGAGTCTATACATGTTCAATGCATGCAGAGTGGCGTAGCGAGTCCGAGCATTTTCTTCTAAGACGTAATAGGCCTTACTTTGGGCTCTTTCCCAATGAAACTAACGTTCTACGTAGATCGATCCAAGTCCGTAGGGACTCTTGCTCAATGCAATCAGATTAAGAGAGATTTATAATTAACACGGCTCTATCTGTCGTTAAGTAGTTTACTGAACAAACGGTTTGGAAAAGTCACTGAATAAAGGATGAAACTGTTAATCTGATTGCATTTAGCGAGAGTCCCCAAGGAGTTGGATCGATCTACGTAGAGCGTTAGTTTCATTGGGAAGGTGCCCTTAGTGTCATTGTTCTTTGCGGTGGATCTTATCCCATTCACTGACTTCATCACTATCTGGTATCTTCATCACCTGACAACTATCTCAGTAGGGGTGATACATGCTGCGACAGGTGCGCATGGCAACGCAACACAGCAGCACAACTGAGCTATAAAACCTTTATTTCACTGTTTATATACATGTACATGTAGTAGTTATTTCCTTACTTCCAATATCAGCCTTAAAAAAAGCTACAACACGAATAACGCTCGTAACATTCGCTGACTGCTACGGTAATATCGTATTTTTGTATGAGAGTACTGCTGCGTGTTTTATGCCAGGTAAAAATAGTAAATTAATATAATTTGGTGTTAAGTAGATATACTGTGTAAATAATTAATAAAAAAATTGAAAAAAAACTTTCGCCAATATAGGACGTCGTAGTGCATGAAGAGGAAATGTATATTTCATGTTTCCCCTCTGATCGTCAGTGCTAAATATATACATATTTTGTTGGGAATTAATCAGTATATTTCTTTTTTGTCTTCTTTCATTCGTAACTTTCATACCATAGCTACATAAAATTTACGCTGGCTAGATTTCACCTCACTAAATCTGGTGCTACAGAGAAATGATTTTTAGGAACATTTATTTTTCAAATGATTACACATTACACTAATTCTACACTCACTCCCTAGCGCCAAGCGACAACCGCACGCGGACCTCTTCCATCTCGAAGAGTCTGAACAGCTTCCGGCTGGCCTCGGACACGGATGAGGATGGAGGGATCGAGCTGGAAACGGATGCTGATGACCTCATGGCGGACTCCGAGGGGGAGGCGGAACCGGAGTCTCCCCCTCCTCAAGAGGGGGAAGAGGAGGAGGGGGAGGGGGAAGATGGGAGTCCTGGTCTCGCGCTGAGTAACCTGTACAAGGTAATATTAACATAGGCCGGCCCCAGAAACATATTTGAGGAACATAGACGTTCCCCTTTTATTTTTTTAAAATATTATTGGATGGCTTGGCCGAGCTCAGTTGATTGCATTGACTCTTGATTAAAGAGCGGTGTATATTTTTAATCTCTGTAAAACTGTATGTATATGTGTGTGTGGTAACAGCCAATTTTATATATTTTTAGAGTGGTAAGGGACAAAATAAGTCTGAACTTAATTAATCTTCCGTAGACTTGATGGAAGTCTTTAGAATTTACAGTGTAACGTGTAGATAAAAAAAGTTCCGCAATTGTATGACGTTCTCGTAAAAATCTCATAGCACCACAAGAAAACAATCATGTCCCCTCCTCTGTCTTCCAGCACAACAGAAACTTTCTGCGCAAGATCCCCCAAGGAGCAGAGGCATGCAACATTTTCTCCGGGGGTGTGGACTTCCTGACACACCCTGTCTGCTTCTTAGCCCGTCTGTCGAACAGCACTGTTCTGGGAGATATGACCGAGGTTTCCCTGCCGACGAGGTTTATATTCTTCCTCCTCGGCCCGAAAGGCGGAGAGAACCCCATCAACTACCATGAACTGGGTCGGGTTATGGGGACTCTGATGTGTGACGAGGTGAGGAACGCACACACACGCGCGCGCGCGCGCTCTCGTGAGCGCACGCACACGTACTACACGTGTTACTATAAATATGCACTTATAGTCTTTGCAACTTTTAATTCAATATGACAACATAAGATTTTAATATAAAACAGATAGTTTTGGGGAACAGATTAAAACAAACTAAATGAATTATAAAAAAAGTTTTACAAGAAATGTTCCTTGACAATACAGAATGTTAAAGCCTTTGAATTTTTTATCATTGCTCCTGACTGGTTATGATGCCCGTGTTGGGGTACATGCTTGTTCTTGTGTTAATCCAGGTATTCAAAGAAGTAGCCTACAAAGCCAGGTCCAAGCACGATGTTGTGCTGGCAATCGATGAATTCCTGAGCAACACGACTTTGCTGCCCCCTAGTGAGTGGGATCCTTCTATTAGGATAGAGCCCCCGCAGAGTGTGCCTTCACAGGTATGTTCTGGCCTAGTACATATTTACCCTCTGATCACAGTAGTCTGTTACAAAGATGTTGAAAAGCAGTGTGATTTTGTACAGTATTTTAGTGGGGCCTGCTATCAGAGGGTTAGCTGTAATACTCAGCCATAACTCGATAATTAGATGGATAAATAGATACATACATACATACATACATAAATAAATAATGCAAACAAATAGAAACAACGCATACACGTAGCTGCTGACTAATAACTTGATTAATTTATTGGAAACTCAGAAACAGTAATCAGGTTTAGTCCTGGGGAGCGAGACTATGTAGCAAAACCAACTAACTTATATATAATACGAATACCACAGGGCATATCATGCATGCTTTGAAGGAAGCATGCATGTATTTACGTGGAGATACACAACATGCAAATACTGTGGTAAGGCTTTTTCCATCAAATATGAATAAAGAAACAAAATTTATAATAACTCGATACTTGAAGTAAAGGTCATCAGTGTTATGTAATGTCTCATAATTTATCACATAATTAGACCTGTTGATAATAGGTGAAATCAGGGCGAACTAAGTCACCTTGTTAGTTTACTTATACAGTCATACATTGATTTTGCAAGTTCGCGCCTCTGATTAGTTTTATTATTATTACATGTATGTCAAGGGTTTCGTGAAGTGATCTCCAGCTACCAAACTTTCCAGACTGCAACTAAAATATACTTACCACCCAGCACTTGAAACAACACAAATAGTAAGCAAGCTGCTGGACACCCTTGTTAATTTATTCAAAAAATGCAAAGAATACGTGCATCATACCAAGAAATACGTTAGCTTGTTTACTTAAACATAAATGTAGTTAACCAAGATATAACATACCGAGTAGTCTGTGCCACATTTAGCCATTTACACACTGCTTGTAATATTTCTGTGCCTAGGATTATATAACAAGCGCGTCTAACCCAACAGACAAGCCAAATATAAAAACACGGCGAAGTCGCCCCTGCTGCTTCAAAACAAAGAATTTTCACTATGATAAAAAGATAATATATGTTAATAATGCATCAGGTGTATCTGGCAATCGTTGTGATAAACCCGACTTAGAAAATCAAATAAAATCTTCACGCACGTGTATTACTTAGCTAAAACAATTAATTAATGGAAATTTAATTATTGATACACATGTTCCCACGCATTCCTACGTTAACATACATGTATTCTACTGGTTGGCTCGAAGTTTTTTCTTATTTTTTGCAACAGGATGATTATACACTGTGCAGTGTTCTATCCTAAACATTGTTTTAGCCTTCTGTCCATGGGCACGTTGTTAATACTTTTTATATTCTAAAGTAAGACAAAACTTACAAATAAGCATTGTACAAGTACAGATAGATGTAATGAATATTATACATATGCAACCCCATTCCGTATATCCTTAAACAATTAAACTTAAACAATTGTCATAATTACGGTCTACATGAAAATTGTCTTAAAGATAAACATGTTGTAGTTGTAGCTGCCACTTAATGTGAATATAAATATGTTTTCAAAATATACAGGCAAGAAGGAGGAAAGTCGTTCGACGCCAGATGAAGCATTCTCATTCGCACCAGCACTTGCCAGAGGAACAGCATTCTGACTCCGAAGATGAAGCTGAGCATGCGCGAGACTCCGGAATCGGAGAAGAATCTACTTTGTCAAGAACTGGAAAGTAAGTGTTTTGACCAGAAGTAATAAAGAGACACACGATCACAACTCTTGCAAAAATGTGTCTAATTTAACTTTTACTTACGGTTCTCAATCTATTCAAGAACATTTGGTGTATTTTTTTTTACAGTTCTAATGTTGTTCTGTAATGATGATTACAGTCCTAGAACTGTTTTTGGGAAGTCCTTTAGAATGTCCTAGAACAGATTAAGAACATTTTTCGTTAAAAGAGAAAAACATTATGTACTAGGACAGATTAAGAACCACAAGTGAGCGTTAAATGAGACCATTTTTTCGCAGGGGAACCCATGAAACAGTGTTTGGGCGTCTACATTTTGTACTTATATCAGTTTTTTTCATACCTTAAATTTTGAGGAAAAAATGAACAACAGTACCATGTTTCTTTTTACAGTCTCCTTATTTCCAGAAAACAAAGAAATTTAACATTTTTATGTGTAATTTATTCCAGATTATTTGGTGGACTCGTCCAAGACGTAAAAAGAAAGATCAAGTTTTACGTGAGTGATGTGAAAGACGCTCTGCACATCCAGTGTTTGGCCACAATTTTGTTTTTATACTTTGCTTGCCTTACAGCCAATGTGACTTTCGGAGGACTACTTGGCATTTCAACTGACCTTCATATGGTAAGACCTTACTGACTTATCATCTCTGTTGTATGTCATTTTAAAAAACACCATCAAAACATTTTTGGTTGGCTTTGTATTCGTTTACAGATGATATTGAAATTGTTGTAATGACATTTTCTCCTTCTCCCTATCTCTCTTTCTCTCTGACAAACACAAACGTCTTTCTTATACATTCCTGTGCACGTGCACACACACACACGCGACAGCTCTTAGTACACGTATAAAGCTTATTCATGTAACTCCAATGCGAACACGAAACTCGGTTGGTGTTAATTTTTGCTCGTTCGTTCAGGCAAATATAGAGAACCTTGTGGCCGCTGGGTTTGTGGGGATAACCTATGCGCTATTTTCTGGCCAGCCGCTCACTATCATGGGCAGTACCGGACCGATGTTGGTCTTTGAAGGGGTTTCGTACAGGTTTTGCAAGTAAGTGAACTAGAGTCCAACATATTATGCATTGTAAGACCAGACCTCAGTTTTAATTGTGGATGTCCTAAAAGATGCCCATGCAAACATATTTGCTTAGTTATCGATTGAGTAGTAGTTTGAACCATAATTTCGACATGTTGAATTAATGATATATACAAGTAATTGAAATTTACGATATATATTTACATATTATTTACATTGAAGAATAAAAAACTCATAAATTTAGTCACTGAAAGAATTGCATAACTGTATTTACGGTTATGCTTTGTGTTGTGGTTCATTCATTCTATTACCATAAACAAATACTGGTATGTTGTAGAGAAAACGGTATTGACTACCTACCATTCCGTTTTTGGGAGGGCATGTGGACAGCGCTTATTCTACTGACCATCGTGATCTTTGACCTGAGCGCCCTGGTCAGGTACATCACCAAGTTCACCGAGGAAAGCTTTGCCATGTTGATTTCGGTGATCTTTATCGTTGAAGCTGTCGAGAAATCTATCCACATCTTGAAAAAAGCTCCCATTGAACTACACACATTCTCGGCGGATTATTCGCAAGAAAGTTGTTTCTGTGAGTACCGTCCAAATGTGACTCAAAGCAATATGACAACCATGAGCAGCATCAACGCAACTCAAGGGGAAATCATACGTTTGGATTTGGACGAGCTTTTGGGCAGGGCAAACTACACCATGTCTGATAATCTGAACGGGTTCGTTCTTGCTGTTAAACGAGGATGCGCCGACTTTGGAGGCGAGCTGATTGGCGACGGATGTCCCGACTCCCCTTACGTCCCCGATGTGTTCCTTTTCTCCATTTTGCTTTTCATTGGGACATTCACAATTGCTATGGCCTTGAAGAGCTTCAGAGGAAGCGGCTACCTGCCCTCTAGGGTAAGGGGATAATGTGTGAAGGCCAAGAATCGGCCTGACTCAACTTAAACCGGAAGTAGTCTTACTTACGTCACTCAAGATCACTGAAGATTCGCCATAATCACCGTGTTTATCTTGTTTAAGAAATAAATAAATAAATTAAACTAAAATCCATAAAAAAACAACTTAAACTTGGGCTTTCGGCATATATCATTATGTGCCTAACTTCTTTAAGGACCCAGGAAGAAGAAAGTACATAGGTGTTTTTTTTTACCAAGTTTTAGTTGATCTTTATAGGTGCGTTTTCAGTTTAATTTATAAGGGCATACGGGAACCCTGTTAGGGTGCTCATCATCTCGCTTTAGTACCTCCTTGATTACAACCAGATCGTCTGTTGGCGTAATTTAGACTGCATAATATATTTTAAAATTGCACTATTAGTCGTGTGCATTTCATTACACTGACCAAAACAATGGATTACATTCACACAGACAACTGAAGTTCCCCTCCATTACTTGTTTGTTTGGATTATTTGGATAAAATAGTTAATCAAAAATTGAAATAATGTTTGTTTGGATTATTTGGATAAAAGAGTTCATCAAAAATTGAAATAATTGAATATTTATTTCTGCTGCCTGCTTAGCACTGTCATCTTTTTTCCCATTCAGGTGCGTTCCATTGTGGGCGACTTTGCAGTTCCCATAGCTATCGCCATCATGGTCACCACAGACCGTATTGTTGACATTAAAACCCCAAAACTGTCAGTGCCGACCAAATTCCAGGTACGGCCATTTTGATGCATATTTATCAGTTAAAACTAATAGGTAATTGCGTATACTGTAGGCCTATATTTGAAATTGTAAGCATTATTTCACATTACTGCAGATTTGCGTTGCATAAACTGATGACCATGTCTTCGACACACGAATTTCAATTTTTAAAAACTTTTTTTAAAATATATTTTCACATTTGTAGCCATCGATTGATCGCAATTGGATCGTCAACCCCCTGGGGAGCAATGCATGGTGGACCATTCTAGCGGCAGCCATCCCCGCCCTCTTGGTTTCTATCCTCATTTTCATGGACCAGCAAATTACGTCCGTGATCGTGAACCGCAAAGAAAACAAACTGAAGGTAATATTACTTATTATGTGTGTGCATATTTGGAATCTGAACTTCACATCGATGATACCTTGTGCTCGCCATGTCATTTTTTCCACCCAATGGAATTTGCGAAAAAAATGAATGAATGAATGAACGAATAGAGAGAATAAAATAGTGGTGATAATAAGTAAGTAGACCACTGAAGCGGTGATCGGTGCATTTAAACATGTGCACTTTACACTATCCACTGTTAACACCCTTTTATGTTTTACCCGTCCCTCTAGTTTTCAGGGTTGAATTCAGATGAACTAAATAATTAAAATAAATAATGGGGAAAATTAAAAAGAAGTAAGGACATTAAGTTTGTGGTAGTATTTGGTCCGGGTCGCTCTTTATTTTGAATAAAACCCTGTGAATGAATCTAAAAGAACATAGCTATGAATAACAATAACAGTACGTGTGTTCCAACATAACTGCAAGCTAGATGATCAAATATTGATTTGTGGGGTTGCAAAAGCTCCTTTAATGCAGTAAGTACTCCACTGTTGATTTCAAAACTTGTCTCTACATGTGCATAGGGTATTTGCTTGTGCTTAGAATAATTGATGTCCCATAGTAACTCAATAATTGTTAACCTTTTCAAATAATTTCTTCCTGCTAAGTCTGGGATAAATGTCTTTACGGTTTGATACTTTTGTTTCTTTTTATACTTTGGACAATTTCATAGGGTGTTTATTCACGTGCTGCTGATAAGCATTGGTATTCTTGTTTGTCAATGTCTTTTCAAGATCATTCTACTCCTTGTACTTCTAGAAAGGCTGTGGCTACCACTTGGACGTAATGGTATTGACGATTCAGATCGCAGTTTGCTCTGTATTTGGGCTGCCCTGGATGGTGGCGGCGACCGTGAGGTCAATGACCCATATTAACAGCTTGAAGATGACAAGCGAGTGCAGCGCCCCTGGAGAGAAACCTGAGTTTCTAGGAGTGAGGTGTGTAGTCCCACGTGTGTCCTAGCATTTGTGTGTGTATGTGTGCGTGTGTGTGTGCGCGCGCGTGCAACTGTGTGTACTGCAGCAAGTAACATAAAGTTCACTGGATTAATATAAGCACAATCTGTTTCTTTTAATGAGTTTATTAAAAAATGAATGTACATGTGAAACGAAACTCAGCATCCTTGTTACAAAGATTTGATATTTGATTTACGCTATTCGTCACAACTCATTACTTTTATTCCAGGGAGCAACGCGTCACCGGATTCGTGATTTTCGTGTTGATGGGCTTGTCTGTGTTCATGTCGACATACCTCAACGTAAGAGCGGCGCTCGTTAGGGCCCATTCCCAATGTTACCAATGTTCTACGTAGATCGATCCAACTCCACGTGGACTCTCGCTGAATGCAATCAGATTAAGATATTATCGATAGTTTCATTGGGAATGAGCCCTTAAACTGTGATTCATAGATTGTTCATAGTATAACATATAAAGCCGTGAACACCACTTTTAAAAGAATTATTATTCCAGTGACTTGACATGAAATCAGTTAAATTTATTTTAAACCGGTTTCATGTCATGCCATGGCGGTTATAACTATAAAAATATAATGGAATTAAAATATGGTAACAATATACATGTAGAGAAAATATAATGAAATTAAAAGATAATAAATGGGCTTGAAGATGACATATAAGTGAAATGAATAATAAACAAAAGAAGTATAAAAATAGATAAATATATAAGATAAATAGAGAAACGATAATGAGCAAGACAGAAAATAAAAAAGGTTAATACATAGGCCCAACGATTTTTATTAGTGTCAGCTAAAGATAGCTTCATTCATCATATTAAAGTGTAACAAATAGTGTGATTATTCTTTATGTTTTAGTATGTCCCTATGCCAGTGTTGTATGGGGTATTTCTATACATGGGCGTGTCAGCACTATTCGACAAAGAGGTAGGTGACTAAATAAAGGCTTTTTTCACAAGCATAAAGGAGCCCTGGCCTAACTGACCCGCAGCACTTATATGGCGCACACTTGAAAGCATGCGCGTAATTCCTCCCTCCGACCAAAAAAAAAAAAAAAAAAAGATTCCCCGCCTCCCTCATGCGCCGTCCCTGTAGGGTTTCTGAGGCATGCTTTCATGTGGGTCGAGCTATATTTGAGCCTCGGCTTAGTTAGATCCGGTTCAGCTAAGTTGTGAACAGAGCCTAACTAATTCACATAGTCCCTCTGATGCTGAATTTTAGTGATCTTGAAAATATCAGAAGGAAATATTCTGTATTCGTCATGCTGTGAACATTTTAATAGTTAATTTTGTTGTTTAGTCGACTTTTGAAAACAAAATATGTGTTGCGTTGTAATAATGACCTAAAAGATGAAGTTCTGATAAATAACATTTATTTCTTCGTGTAGCAACCATAAGCGGTTGAACTGTAAAATAAAACAATTATGAAAGACTACCAAAGCATGCAAAATAAAAAGAAAAATGTATAAATTGTAGATGTTGAATTATATTTCTAGCTTGTGCAGAGAGTACTGATCGTATTCATGCCCAACAAGTACCAACCGGACTATATGTTTTTGCGGCACGTTAAGACGAGGCGTGTTCACATCTTCACCTTAATACAGATCGTCTGCTTGATTTTGTTGTGGATCGTGAAGTCGGTGAAGGCTATTTCTATCGCTTTTCCGTTGATGGTAAGGACATATATCTGAACTCAAGAATTTTACAGCCCTCTGTGTACATTAAGTGATTGAATGTTTGTGTTTTTGTTTCGTCGCTTCAAATGATAACATATCGATTGTTGAGCATTTGCCAAAATTGGATAGTATTTCTTGTGTGCTCACAACGTGTTTTTTTAAATCTTTATTTGATACATCGTGGTCTGGTGTTTAAATGCACCCCTTGTGATGTATTCAACAAAAGATTCCACCTAAGCACACACAAACACAAAAGTATCAAGGCGCAAATTCTGATATCAGCTTCTTAAGTTGTATACAAAATTTAAAAAATGTGAATAAAAGAATGTAAGGAACTTATTAGAGGATACAAATATATAGTCACCTAAAACACAAGTTTCCAGGAATGCAGAAACAAACAACAGCGCCCTGATGTGTCTGTCGTCAACCTGAGCGCAATCACGTCAAAATATCGATCTTGGCTAGGGATAATCTAAAGTAGTAAAAAAGCGGGCAATGAACCCTTACAATATATAGTATAACAATAACCTGAAATATATAAAAAAAAAAACAAAAAAAACCAAAAGCACGCTGACCCCGGAGTTTTTGTCTTCTTGCAGGTGTTACTTATGTGCGTAGTCAGGAAGTTCCTTGAGAGAATCTTTAACCAAAGAGAACTATTTTGGCTGGACGATCTGCTTCCAGGGCAGAAAGAAGCAGAAGTAAGGATTATTTTTGAATTATCTTTATAGTCACAGCGAAATCAGAAAAGTTTCGTTATTGAAAAGTGTGAAAAGAATGTTTTTAGTGTATGTAAAGACCCTTTTCACCAAAAACAAATTGTACAAATACTCGATTCAAACAACTTAACATCTTTTTAAATGCTCACTTAGTCATACTTAACCACATTTTTATGAATATAGGGCAAAAAGAACGAGGATGCAACGGATGTAGAAGGAAAGGACAAATTATTGGACCGCGGCCTTTCCTCAGATGAAGAATACGGCAATGAAATAGTCATCAAAATAAACGAGATGAATGGAAATCAGGGAAGCAAGGACACAGCTGAAAAAGAAAAAGAGAAAGAAACAGAAGCAAATACAAAAGTATAACATGGTGGAAAGACAACTAAATGTTTAATGTAGTTAAAAAAACAAAAACAGTAAATGCCGGATTCACGTGACACACCGTTTTGATTTATCACAGCAGTGGTCCAGCATTAAGATCGTGTGGAAATATTTGGTTGCCAAAATCATCACACAAGTGACAATGGACATTAGAATTATCTTTCTTTTAAAGTGAAAACTGTATGTCTCATAAGAGTAGTCTCCTAACGGTAGGCAAGACCATGTATGTACCATACTCTAAGCATCTGTGCTTATTTGTTCTACTAATCAGATGATTAGATGATATGTGGAATTAGAGTAAGTAACAGCTTATTTTTAAGCAGCTTAGAAAGCTGTTTTGCGGGCAAAAATAGCAACAGTATTCGGATAATCAGAGCTACCCATGTCATGTAATCAGATGAACAGTAATACTCAGAAGAAATCTAATAATATGATATGAGCATGGTTTTCCAAGCTAATATCATAAGACGTATACTTAGCTACTTATAGCTAGAATAGAACAGAAAATTAAATAGCAGTAGTTTTTGAATAACTTTCATGGAATTAAACAGCTTAAAGCTGGTTTGTTGCTGACTGTCTTGAATACTGCTGCAATATTCACTGTTAGCCAGAACATGCCGTCATACTTATCAATTTGTCGTGATTTTACATAGTTAAACATTTTTGTCAGTGCAGTGGTCAACTTCAAGGTTTAGCTTTTCACATACATGTAGCATATATGAAGCATCTTGATACGTGAATTGACCAGTAACCTTCAGTGATTACCGTGCCTGTTTGAAACTGGGACATGATTAAAATTATTCTTGACCCATTGTTTAAACGGCAATTGTGGACACGTTTTTTTAAGTTTTCGTTTACTTCACTTCGTTTCAAATCTCTATTTAAGGAGAAAAGTATAGTCGCGATGTACTTGTTACTGACAAAAAAGTCCGTCAGCAAATGAAAAGCTATCTCATCTCTTGTTAGCTTGATCTATATTTTGTTATTGATGTCCACATGTTTTTTGAGTTGGTTATGTGTACACTTCTAGCAGAACTTTATGTTTATAGACAGTGACGTGTTTTCTTGTACATATGTATTGCCATTCTTAAAAGAATGCTCGAAAATATATCTAATGCACCTGTTTATATATCCACTTTTCCACCCAAAGTGAACTATCTTATCGTTAACTATCTTATCGAATAACCACCAACGTACTGCTTTCATCATGCAAAGGATATACGTTAACTGTTGACGATATTCTAGATAGCATTAACACTTTCAAATTATGTTATCGAATGTTTTAACACAATATACATACGTTTATATACACATATGTACATGTAATTATGTATAAGCCACTGATGGCGCTTGATGTATTCAGAGCCGTCATTCGACCTGTTTATTTCTTTCGGCCTCGTGAATCCGGTATATGTACCTCACCCGGATTCAAGTGGCAGGTGCTTGGCTGAGTCACTTATACCCTTGTCACGTCATAACCAGAGTGGTTTCAATGACATTGGCATTCGTTGAGAGAGTGACACCAAATTAGGACAGTTACAGAGGACAGAGAGGTGAATTTGAAAAAAAAAAATAGGTTCAAAAGGAGGCACCTGATATGACTGCAGTGAGAGGTCAACGTTTTCCATAATGCAGAGGAGTACGTTAATCTAGAAATTGTGATTGCTTCTTTATAACCAATTCTTACGACTGATAGATTTGTTCTAACTGTCAACATTGTTACTTTAACAAGGATATTAAGTGTTTCATACTTACATGCATTGTTTGCTTTTTATCTGATATATGAAAAAAAAAATATATATATATATATGACTCATGCTGCCTTGAGGTTTTTCTGTCTTAGACCCCATTCCCACAGATATATAGATCGATCTATCCCTATGGGGAGCCTCACTAGATTGTTGTCAACTTAATCGGCTTAAATGTCTGTCCCGTCTACCAAAAAGCTGTAATGGGTTAATTAACTTTTGTTCTTTTCCGGCTCCTGGAAGCTGACAGTAATTAAGCGGGAAACCCCAGGGAGTTAGGTCGATCCAGATGGATCGATCTAAATCTGTGGGAATCCAGTCTTAATGATGAAACATTTTAGTAAACCCACAGATTACTGTTTTTTCGTAATTGGACTCTATTTGTGGAGTCAAAAACGTTCTCCGCGTACTTTTTTCCAACACATAATAAAGACTAGATGAAATAAGTGACGTCCATATGCTATACAAAAGTACCTCAAATTGAATTACACTATTTGCTTTCTTGGAAATGCAAACATTTGCAAACAACTTCTAAAAATGAGACAGGTTTGTAAGACGATGATAAGGCGAGGATCAAATATATTTGGTTTTATCTATTTCTAGCGCACTTCGGCTATAAAACTAGGGGTGATCGATCAATAGAATTGAATCCGTTGTGCCATTGGTAATAATTTCACACAAGTAAAATGACCTTTGTACAATGGAAATTGTCCATTGTAAGAGTGCATTCCAAGAGATTTGGATCGATCCATCCGGATCGACCTATCTCCCTGGGGGTTCACGCTAAATTGCAGTCAGCCGAGCGCGCACGACAGTTAATTACCCCCTTACAGCTTTTAGTAGGCGGGACAGACGCTTAAGCCGGCTAAGCTGACAGTAATCTAGTGAGACTCCCTACAGGGATAGATCGATCTAAAATCTGTGGGAATGGGGTCTTAGTGTCAGTTGGGGTGGGGGCGATGCTGGGGCGTTGGGACTATTGTTGCGGGCAATATTGATACAGATTGACCATAAAAGAGAATTCACATAAATTTTATTAAATCCTACAAAGGTCCATCAAATTTCAAGAAATTTGGCGGACTTAAACTTCAGTATGTGTATGCATCATTCCGCTTAGTTTAGATTTCCTTGGTCGGTTTTTTATAAAAGTTATGGTCCGCGGCATTGAAGGCACAATTGCATATGTCGTGCAATTGTCAATTATTCAAACTCATTCCTCCTTCGGGTCTTCCTTATTTTTGCTGTGGTTGCTGCCTTCAGTTCACCAATTGTTTGTGGGTAGTCCTGGTACACATTTTCCTTGAGATACCCCCACAGATGAAAATGGATGACTAAAAACGCTCGTACGATACAGATTGAAAAGTAACAAATTAGGATTCTCAGAGCCATCTGCGTCACCAAAAGATAATCAACCAATGAGGCGAGTGTTTTACTGGTTTCGGCACACTATACATATATATATCGCATGGAAGCAGGATAAGTGAGAAGTTTAAAAAAGACACGAATAGATCGCAAGCACCAGATTTAATGTCATATCTGCCTAAAATTTTAAGACACCCAGCTTCAACAAAAAAGGCTATTGCCAAATTCTTATTGATAGGAAAATGAAGGACTACCACTACTACCATTACTATTGGGATGACTGCGCGACAGCAGACAACGCGTCTGAGAAGAACTGTACGCGTCTCACGGATCCAGACTTATTTTCCAATTACTATTACTTTGATTATGAACTGAACAAGGGCCCGCCAAATGTGACGCAGTTTTTCATTCCGTTTGTTTTTACGGTGGCGTTTCTTATCGGAATCGTGGGAAACGTGCTCATCGTGATCGCAGTTATCAGAAATAAAAACATGCGGACTTTGACCAACTTTTATTTTCTCAATCTGGCCCTGGCGGATTTGGTGTTTTTGGTGTTTTGTGTGCCGTATACTACCACCGTGTATGTCTTGGAGTCTTGGCCATTTGGGCAGTGGATGTGTAAGTATTATTTTTACAATAATATTTCAATTGATTACATTTACAGTGAGTTTTATTTTTGATCAATGAATTTTGAAGCGATGTTCACATGGAAGTTAAAAAAATCTATATTGTGGAATTTTTTATGTACTACAAGCCATGTAATGAAGTAGTAAATAATCAGTAATAATAGATAATAATTAGGGATTTTTATTGAATTATTGTAAAAGATTTATAGGTAATTAAAGGCAAAGGTTCGTAACGTTTTTCATTCATCCGATATTTACACATATCGCTCGGGTGACAGTGTATTATTGGCAAGGCAACAGGTGATAACGAAGTATAAAGTCTCAAATAAGGTAGTGATTTATGTTTAAACATTAAAAGATTGATTTATAATTTTTTCAATACGGAATGATAGAAACTGATAGTCTTTTTATTAAAATCAAAGCAAGTTTAAAGATATAAAACGTAGGCAATTATTCGGTTACAGTCAACGCTAATTAAGATTCAAGGGACGTAGGTTAGATAGAAGTCATGGATCAGAGTAATGCTGATCTTTGATTTTAAAATAAATTAGGCATCTCTTTACAGATAAGCTGACCATTTACATGTACCTTATGAGCATCTTTCTTTACAGATAAGCTGACCAATTACTTTATGAGCGTTTTTCTTTATAGATAAGTTGACTATTTACCTTATGATAATCTTTCTTTACAGGTAAGTTGACCAATTACCTTATGATTGTGACAATGGCAACTTCCATAGCGACGTTGACAGCGATGACAATCGACAAACACTACACCATATTGTACCCTAGTAGTTACATCCGTNAAAAATTGTTTGTTTATTTTGTAAACATCCCCATTGTCCGGTATAGGTTTTCCATTGTTCAAATGATGTAACATAACAAAAGAAAAAAATGGAATTCTTTTCTCCCGTATAGTACGGATGTAACTACTTACCCTATCAGAGCAAAAATATTCCGGTAACTGTTCTCTTTAGTTTTATATATATGTGTGTGTGTGTGTGTGTGTGTGTGTGTGTGTTTACTGCAATTGCTTTTTACTTGTGTTCAAAAGTATAAAGTTAGGTTGATAACTCACACACAACTCGCAAGAACAGAGGAACGATATAATAATGATCTAAGTATTTTTTTCAAATCATTACAACATAAAGGCTGAAGTTGTAAATTGCGAGTTCAAATGGAATTTTAGAGATTAACATAAAGATCAAATTAAGTTCAAATAAACACAGAATTATTAAAGTTAGATATCAAATTGGATAAAAGCGTTACAGAACCTTACAATCGCGATTTTAGGCACACAGCATCTGTTTTTTTTTTTTTTTTTTTTTTTTTTTTGGGGGGGGATTATGATACCTTTATTAGATTAGTATGAAGAAGACATTTTCCCCTTTTTTTAAATTCATTTTTTTTCTGATTTGTCAAGACCCGGTCCATTCCAGATACTTCGCTGTATAACGATGAATTGCAAAGTGTTTTTTTTTTTGCGCAGACACCTGATCCATAAAATAAGCTGCAGAGCCCTTTAATCTCTCCACGTGGTGTTTGAATACCACACTGACTCGTCACATGCGGTTCGCCAGAGGTAGATATCCGCTCAAAAGCTTAGCCGTTCCTTTTCTTGCCGCGATTTGTAATAATATTTTTAATGAAAATGATGGAATGTTATTTAATGCGTTTGTTTGACCTATCCACTACGGCTCTTTGCATTAACCTGTGGTCACTCCCCTCTGTTATTGTTTCAGTCCTTCTCTCGAACATAAATTTACTAGATATAAAGTTGATTTTTTGTCTCTTTTGATATATGTCTCTTATCCAAGTAGAATACTCACATTTGTCTGCATTTTGACTAAATAAAGAAACCTGCTCCATTTGGAACTTGTCACGCATTAAGCACGACTTTTGTTTTTTTCTTGACAATAAAATAAAAAAGTTTAAATCCGTTCACGAAACCCTGCCAATTTTGCGAGACTTCTAAGAAATATGCTTTATTTGATGACCTAAGCGACCTCTGTCTGCAGACGCTGCACCTGCATACCTTTTACCAGGACCGCAGATTAATTAGCTGCATTTTTTTCTTCTTCAGCGCAAATCGTGTCATGAAGAAGCCAAAGACATATTTGTGCATGTCTAGTAAATAATCAATCTGTGACCCTGGTGGAGTGAAGCACCTTATCACCAAAAATGAACAATAAAACAGTAACGAGATTGGGCGTGCGTCACTTGCGGCATAGATTAGCGGTGTTAGAGACTGATGTCCTCCCTCCATAAGACCCATAGAGGTTACATAATGTACATCTATAGTTAGTGTGGAGTGAATATGTTAAAATTAGAGGTTTACTTGTGAAAAGCAATGGGAACCGGACCCTGTATCACAAGGGGCTCTCTTGTACGTGACACTGTAATCGGTGGCAGACAACGACATGCGCATCCCATCAGGCACTGTAAGGCCGCCTTCACAACAGCGGACTAACTGGTCCGCGAATTAAAAATGGCCAACTGACTTGAATAATTGTTGCGTAATCCCTGCTGGCAATGTATTTATCTTTTATTAGGGGCTAACTGGTCCGCGGATTAAAAATGGCCAACTCATTTGAATACTTGTTGCGTAATCCCTGCGGGGCTTGTACGGCAAGCGTTTAAGTTGATCGCCATATTTAATCCGAGGACTAGTTAGTCCGCTGTTCTTAATGCGGCCTAACGGTACTTTAACTGGTAATTTCACCATTGTAAATGTCACAAAATTTATTTGAGCAGTTTTGTTTGGTACTTGCAAAAAATATCCTTTACGTGATAATTGAATGAGGAAATCTGCCGTGAACTATCGGCGGAATTTCACTTTAATCGTGCTAGGTGCTTGTCACCTCGTGACAAAGGTGACAACTCAGAATCAGTTCACCTGAAGAAGCCCTTGTAATAAGGTCGAAACTTCTTGATCTGTGTCCCAACTTAAGATCCAGTAAAAGATTCAATTTCTTCATTAACTTTCAATAATATAACTGAGTCAAAACATTGGCTTTTTTATCGGTTAAATGTGCAGTACTAGTGCCAAATGTACTGACAGAGTCATACGATATTCTGACTTTCCTGGAGTATTACCTGAGTTTACACTCTTGCATTTATAAGACGAAACCGTAAAACTGATGAAAAGAAACACGAAAGCATTTGAGGATTTAGCTGTCAGGCGATATCTCCAGGGGTCTGCTCTTGTTTAGGCCATCAATTCCAGGAAAATGTCAGCCCCAGATATTGTCATAATTGAAAGACATTTCAGACTAATTATTCAACGTAAAATAAGTGAAAAAGTGTTAGTGGTAAAAAATGGTTATTTTAAGGTACTGTGCTGAGTTCTAAGAAATACGGCTGGATATATTTTGCTCAAGGGCTCTTATCCGACTTGGGGAAAATCTAGATTCGGTTAACGATTCCCAACCTGTTTTTTTTCTAGGAGAAAAAAGTAACACAACACCACGACTTGGTTTAAAAAAAACCAAAACTCGGTTTATTACCAGGTCGTTGTCTGGTTTTATGCAAGATATCTGCGTGACAGACCGCGAGATCGTAAATTTCGTTTAGGTTAGATAAGAGCAATGAAGGATAAGAGATTTCTGAGTGATACTATAAAGAGTCGCATGCACATACCCGCGACTCCATTAAAGTTAATTTACGTTATAAGCTTGGGGATTATTTCTGTGATAAGTACAAGGCAGAGCGGAGCTCGACTTGAACACAACGCGTCATAGTTCATATTCAGGCCTCATAAATGGATTAGGCGTTTACTAACACTACCTGCAGATCTTTTAGCAACGCCCATATTAACCACAAAACCCACGAATAAACCAGCACACCGTAAAATTATTTGGCACCAATAAAGCGACACCTAGCACTAATATGCATCCGCTCTGGTAGTGCTGGTTATTTTGTGGGTTATGTGGTTAATATGGGTGTTAGTGGTGAAAGATCTGTGGCCCCAGTCAGAATAGGGGACTATCTAGCCCGAGGGTAAAATATGGCGACCCACTACAAAGCTTGCCGTCTAATCCGCTAATAAACATTGAATAGATATCCCGTGGGGAAGTATTCAAGTGGGTCGGCCATATTTGACCCTCGGACTAGTTAGTTCCTTACTCTGAATGGGGCCTTAGTAAACATCTTAAAAGGTCTGTTATTGGCCTTTCTTTCTGTCTCAATCTACGACAAAACAATCTTGTAAGGCATAGCTACCGTAACGCACGTATGGGGCGGGTCTACTCTTTTTCTTCTGGGTTTACAAATTTTTCTCTCTTTTTTTCAGAACTGCGGATCTCACTTTGATAGTTATAATATTGATCTGGGCCGGTAGTTTGCTCCTGCTTCTTCCAGCTCTCTTTGCCACCACTACAGTAACCTTTTGGAAAGAAGGCAAAGAATCAGAAGCGTGTACGGAGGTTTGGGAAGTTGAGCGTCACAGACAGGCATACACACTTTCGATCTTTTGCGTTACATTTGTCTTGCCACTTACAACAGTCACCATTTTCTACGGGAAGATGTGGAGAGCACTTTGGCCCTCCCGTATTGGCCACCAATCTGAGGTGACCGAAGGTCAAGTTCAAGGTCAGGGAGGTCATGACGGGGCCCTGCGAGCACGACGTCAAAGTGCGAAGGCTGTGCTGGTGATTCTCATTATTTTCTTTGTGGCTTGGTTTCCGATACACTGTATTCAAATAGGTACCGATTTCGGAGTCAATACAGACGATGTCACGGTCGCTCAACTGAAAAATATTTTCACCATCTTGGGTCACTGTTTGACCTGCATTTCCAGCTCCATCAAACCTTTCGTGCTGACGAGATTTTGTAAAAACTTTAAGAAGGCCATAAAGAAGACTGTTTGTTGCAACAACAATCCCACCAGTGTTTGGAATGGTGACAGTCCCGTGGACGAATCCGAGTATGAAGGAAATAATAGCGGACCCACACTCTCGTTTCCTGAAACCGCCGTAGTCCACATAAGAAGCATTGCAGAGGATGTCGGGAGCGATAACCCTGATCCGCATGAGGTATAAATCATTGCCTGATTCATCTTTTCCAAAGTAAGGCATCTCAAACATCGAGCCAAGGGCCTTTTCCCAAAGGGAATTAAGAGAAGCCACACTATTGCACTAATGACTGAAATGGAATTTCAAAAATAAAACTTTTAATACGCAGTAGCAGGGATCAGAAATTGATCCAGGATTTTCTTTTCTTTTCTTTTTCGTTTTGGGCATCGCTTTACTTGGAGGGCCAATCACAATTACTGATGAGGACATTATCAATCAGGGGCGAATTGATTATCTTTGTCAGAACAATACATTTTTTTTACTCCAAAATGGTATGAATCTATTCGGTAGCCGGGTAGAAATCTTTCCGACCTCCAGCAGCCGCGCCATACCTGTAGATCAGTATAGTTCCTTGATTGTGTCTTTACAAAAAATTGATTTGCATGCTTACCTTAGTGCAGTATGGTACAAATGACATCCGTTTTTCCACATTTGGAAAAGTAAACTTTTCATGAGTGAATAGGAGAGCATTCACATCGAGAAGAGCCGAAGTCTAGCAAGGCCGAGACCTAAATATGTCGGACCTACATGAAAGGAAGACCGCGTAATCCTTTAATAGTCTCTCAATGAATGTCATTGGGAGACCATTAAAGGATTACGCGGTTTTCCTTTCATGTAGGTCCGCCATATTTAGGTCTTGGCCTTGCTAGACTTCGGCTCTTTTCGATGTGAATGCTCTCTGGGACCATGTACATGTACATAGTGATCATTATTAAGACAAGCAGAAACTTTGTTGTGCAGTGTAGTCAGAGTAATTGTGCATGTACGTGGACGTGTAAAATCGAAACTTAGCTGTGGAAGACGC